TGACATCATACTCAACGGTGAAAAGTAAAAGCTTTTCCTCTAAGATCAGGAAGAGACAAGTGTACACTCTCACTACTTCTATTCAACGTAGTCTTGGAAGTCCTAAGCCAGAGCAAGGAAATTAGGCAAGAGGAAAAAAAAAGTCATCTAAATCAGAAACAAAGAAGTAAAGTTTTCTGTTTGCACATGACATGATCTTATATATAGAAATCTTCAAGACTCCAGCAAAAATCTGTCAAACTAATAAATGAATTCAGTAAAGTTCCAGGAGACAAAAATCAAGATATGAAATGAAAAATCATTTGCATTTCTATACACTAACAATGAACTATCCAAAAAAAGAAAGTAACAAGCCCATTTATAATAGCATCAAACAGAATAAACTATTTAGGGATCAATATAACCAAGGAAGTGGAAGATCTGTACACTGAAAATCATAAAATACTGATGAAAGAAATTGAAGACAACACAAATAAGTGGAAAGTTATCCCTTGTTCATGGATTGGGAGAACTAATATTACTAAACTATTCACACTACCCAAGGCGATCTACAGATTTAACTCAAGACCTATCAAAATTCCAATGGCAGGGCACCTGGGTGGCTCAGTTGGTTAAGTGTCCAACTTTGGCTCTGGTCATGATCTCACAGTTCGTGGGTTCGAGCCCCGCATCCAGTTCTGTGCTGACAGCCAGCTCAGAGACTGGAGCCTGTTTCAGATTCTGTATCTCCCTCTCTGTCTGACCCTCCCCTGCTCACGCTCTCACGCTCTCCTCTCTCTCTCTCTCTCTCTCTCTCTCTCTCAGAAATAAATAAAACATTTAAAAAATCAAAATTCCAATGGCATTTTTTCGCAGAAATAGAAAAAAATCTTAATATTTGGATGGAACCATAAGAGATCTCAAACAGCTAAAGCAATCCTAAGCACAAAAAGTAAGCTGGAGGCGTCACACTTTCTGATTTCAGACTATATTACAAAGCTATAGTTATCAAAATAATATGGTATTGGCAAAAAGAAAGAAAGAGAGAGAGAGAGAGAGAGAGAGAAAGGAAAGGAAAGGAAAGGAAAGGAAAGGAAAGGAAAGGAAAGGAAAGGAAAGGAAAGGAGAGGAAAGGAGAGACATACAGATCAACAGAACAGGATAGAGAGCCTAGAAATAAACCCAGTCATACCCACTAATTTTTGATAAAAGCACCAAGAATACACAACGGGAAAAAGACAGTCTCTTAAATGGTGCTGGGAAAACTAGATCTCCTCATGCAAAAGGATGAATTGGACCATTATCTTACATTATACACAAAAGTCAACCCCAAATGGATAAAAATCTAAGCATAAGACCCAAAATTATAAAACTCTTAAAAGAAAACATGAGGGAAAAAGTCCTGCACATTGGTCATGACAATGATTTTTTGGATCTGACATCAAATGCACAGGCAACAAGGCAAAAATAAACAAGTGGGACAATGTTAAACTAAAAGGCTTCAGGGCGCCTGGGTGGCTCAGTTGGTCAAACATCTGACTCTTGATTTCAGCTCAAGTCATGATCTCACGGTTTGCGGGTTCAAGCTCCACATCAGGCTCTGTGTTGACAGCATAGAGCCTGCTTGGGGATCCTCTCTCTCTCTCTCTCTCCCTCTCTGTCCCTCCCCCGCTCACTCTCTTTCAAAATAAGTAAACATTTTTTAATATTCAACAAAAGAAATCACCAAAAAAATGCAAAGGCAATCTACAGAATAGGAGAAAATATTTGTAAGCCATATATCTGATAAGAAGTTAATATCCAAAATGTCTAAGGAAACCTTAAAACTAAATAGCAAATAACAGTGACAGCAACAAATATAATCTGATTAAAAATGGGCAGAGGAACTTAATAAATGTTTTGCTAAGGAAGCTGTCCAGGTGGCTAACAGGTATATGAAAAGATGCTCAACATCACTTATCATCAGGGAAATGCAAATCAAAACCTCAATGAGCTATCACCTCATGCCTATTTGGATGACTATTATAAAAAAAAAAAAAAAACAGGAGATAAAAATATTGGCGGAGAGAAAAGGAAACCTTTGTATACTGTCGGTGGAGATGTAAATTGGTACAACCACTATGGATAACAGTATGAAAGTTCCTCCAAAAATTAAAAATAATGCTGCAATATACCCTTTGGCTTATATCACATCATTGTTCACAATAGCCAAGTTATGGAAACACCGTGAGTATCCATTGACAGATGAATGGAGATATATATATTTTTAATAAAAATAAAATAATACATATGTTATATATTTTTATTTTATTGCTTTAAGTTATATGTTTATTTTTGAGAGAGACAGAGAAAGACGTGCACACGCAGGAGTGGGGGGAGGGGAGAGAGAGAGGGAGAGAGAAAATCCCAAGCTGTCAAGCGCAGAGCCTGACACAGGGCTTGATCTCACAAACTGTGAGATCACGACCTGAGCTGAAATCAAGAGTTGGATGCTTAACCAACTGAGCCTCCCAGGAGCCCCTATGTATTTTTATGCTCTATTGTACATATATCCACTGCATATACACACAATGAAATAGTCTTTAGCCATGATAAAAAGAAGGATATCTTGCTGTTTGTGACAAGGATGGACCTAGCGGGCATTATGCTGAGTGAAATAAGCCTGACAGAGAAAGACAAATACTGTATGGGATCACTTATATGTGGAATCTTAAAAAAAAAAGGTGAGGGGGAGGTGCTTGGATGCCTCAGTCGGTAAAGAGTCTGACTTCAGCTCGGGTCATGATCTCATGGTTTGTGAGTTCGAGCTCCATGTTGGGCTCTGCTCTGGCAGTGCAAAGCCGGCTTAGGATTCTCACTCTCTCCTCTCTGTCTTCCCCTCCCCTGCTCATGCTTTCTTTCTCTCTCAAAATAAGTAAATAAATAAACAAACAAATAAATATTTTCTAAAGTGAAACCCACAGAACCCGAGAGTAGAAAAGAGGTTACCAGGCCCTAGGAGTGGGGAGCTAGGGAGATGCTGTCAAGGGTACAAACTCTCAGTTATACGATGAGTAAGTTCTCAGGACATAATGCATGGCATGGTGACTATAGTTAATAACACCATATTCTATATGTGACATTTGCTGAGAATAGGCCTTGAGCGTTCTTACTAAAAAAAAAAAAAAGTTACTGTATGAGCTGATGGATGTGTTATTTAACCTGATTGTGGTAATCGCTTCACATTGTATAGGTTTTTTTTTCATTTTTTAAAATGTTTTATTTATTTCTGAGAGACAGAGAGAGACAGCATGAGCAGGGGAGCGTCAGAGAGAGGCGGAGATACAGAATTGGAAGCAGGCTCCAGGCTCTGAGCTGTCATCACAGAGCCCGATGCGGGGCTCAAACCCACAAGCTGTGAGATCATGACCTGAGCCGAAGTTGGACACCCAACTGACTGAGCCACCCAGGCGCCCCTATATAGTTTAAATATATTACAATTTTACTTGTCTATTATACCTCAATAAAGCTGGGGTGGGGGAGCAAAACAGAAGAACTGAAAAACAAGACTGAGCTGACTCCATCTTGCTGTGTGCTTTTGGGAAGTTTTCCTAACCTCTCTGTGCCTCACTGACTCCACTGATAGATGGGAATCTCCCCTCCCCTCTCCTGGAGTTCAAGGGGAAAGAAGACCCCTGGATTCCAGGGGTGTAGACAAGCCTGTGTTTAAGGCCCAGCGCAGCTCCCACCTGGGCCAGGATCCGGCTGCACTCATGAGGAGTTTGGCTGGAGTCAAGCACCGGGTCATTTGAGGGCTCTGCACAACCCTGTGTCTGGGATCATGATGCTGCCTTGGGCTCAACTTCTGATAAGAGGGACAATGTGGCCGCAGCCCTGATGCACCTGTCCAGCCACAAAGCCCAGGAGCTCCAGGAGCCAAGCCGTCTGGGTGGGGGAGGGAGGCAAGAGGGTGGACAGACAGAACAGAGTTGTGGAAACTTGCCTTGCTCCTCAAGGCCCACCTCCACCACCAAGGGCAGGATGGAGACAGAGGAATGGGAGACAGAGGAATGGGAGACAGAGGAATGGGACTGCGGGAGAAGTGACAGAGCCCTGAACTGGAAGTCAGCCCTGCACAGCCACTAGCTTCTTGCGGGACCACGGGCCAGTCTCTTCTCTTCTCCAGGCTTCAGGACCGATGAGCCAATGTGTAGCAAGGGTCCAGCTGGGGTCATTACCACACCAGGTTCTTCACATGCATTCTCTCATCAAACCCTACTCAGAATCCCGAGGGCTAGGCATCATAATCCCTTGAGAACCTGAGGATCTGAGAGGCTAAGTGACTTGGCCCAGGTCACCCAGCCTGTATGAGGTGTCCACAGCCTACACTAGAAGAAACTGGAGACCAGAAGCCCTGAGAACCTTGCCAGCTCAAAGGGGCTTGAGTTCTGCCAACCCTCCATGACCAAGCCATCATCCCCTTTCCCCCAGACAACTGCCACAGCCTTCAGCTGGTCCCTCTACAACCCCCCCTCCCCCCAACCACCACCACCTCCCTGCTGTCCATTCTCCACTCGGCAGCGAGCAAACTGGGAATCAGATCACACCACTCCCTGTAAAACCCTCCAAAGGCTTCCTACTGCCTTGAGGAACAATTCTGAGCCCTACACCATGGCCTACGAGGACCTAGGAGGTCTGCCTTGGTGGCCCTTCCCACTTTCCCTTCCATGCCTCCCCATCGGCCACCTGTGTCAGCCCAGCGGCCCGCACACTGGGCCACAAACCTGCCAAGCTCCTTTCTGCCTTGATAGTTCCCTCTGCCTGGACTTCTGGTTCCCCTGCACCTCACCTACCCCAGATCCTCACCTTCACCTGCTCTCTTTTCTTGTCCTTTGCTTTATTCGATCAGCGCCCATCTCCCCAGCAGAACAGACGCTACGGAGATTATCTACCCTACTCTCTGCACACCCCTAGTTACAGCCCAGGGCATGCCCAGGGGGTGCTCAGCATGCACATGGCCGATACCCGTGCCCGAGGCCCACCTGGTTCCGGAAGATCAGGGCCACCACACCACCAATGAGCTCAATTATGAGGCAAATCCCCAGGATATACATAAACTGAAAAACAAAATTCAGAGATTCACTTAGAGGGGCGAGAGAAGCACCTTGGCTCCAAGGTCAAGTGCGATGAGGAGAATCCTCTCTGTGGGAGCTCTTACTGGCTCCCGGGCCTTCTCCTTCCTCCTGTGAGGGCACAGGATGTGGACAGATATTCCCCGGGAAAACCCATCTCTGGGGCCAGTCAGGGGTCGGGAAGCGTGACTCAGCTGTCCAGGCCAGATTGTTATCGAGGTTTGTCCCACGGTCCTCCACAGAGTAAAGGCAGAAAAACACCCCTCCCACCGCCACCGCCACCACGAGGAGGGCTGACCCAGAGCGGGCCTGGCTGGCTGGGCTACCGCCACGGCATTTACAGCTCTGCCCGCAGAGCCCCTCAGAAGTGGCCTCCCAGTCCCCCCCAGAGTGGGTGAGGGGACGTCTGAGGCCCAAAGAATATATACCCCCACCCCTGCCCCAGCACAAAGCAGGTAGTGTCCAAACTGATGCCAGCAACTTCCAGCCTCAGGCAGCACCAACATCCTGCTTATCAGGGCTTCCCACGTGAGGGGTGACAGTGAGGTCAAACACACACGTGGGCACAGTGAATGGATCTGCCTACCCAGTACCCCCAGCTTCAGGGAGCCACCCCTCACTGCACAGAAAAGGGGGCAGGTGAGGTGGCCCCAGGGCAGGCACTTGGCCCAGGCAGGCTCTTCAGAGTCCTAGGACTTTGGCCAGAGGTTACCAGGAAACACTTTTTGGGATCAAGGGCCATGAAGCCTCTGTTGGCTTGAGGACGCTAGTGACGATTGTAAAGAGAGCCTGAGGACCCAGCCTGGCATCCAGCTGGGAGGTGGCGGAAGAGCAGGAGCCCCCGGTACCATCTAAAGCCCTGGTTCAGTGTGGGTTCGCTGGTTACAGGAGCCACGCACTCACCACCAGCACCTCTGGGATTTGCTTGCTCTCACTTGAGTATGATTTCTCCCACTTGCAACTGAGAGTCCAGACCCACGCAGGGTTTCAGTGAGAGAAGAATATTCAAGTCAGCCTTTATATGCAAAGTGGAGGTGGCCTGGGCTCTCTTGGGCCCACATAACAGAGAGGCTGATCCAGGAGACCTTCTAGAAAGTGTGGTTTGAGGCAAGGACTGAAAAAAACCTGGGCTGCTCAGGGGCCCAGGGGCAGTCTCCCCAGCTCTCTTAGGGACACCAAGGACACCCCCTCCCCCCCAGCTGAGGGGTGCGTGGAGCCAACTCACCGCTTGGAGAAGGCACAGGTTGTCGCGGAGGGAGGCCAACACGCCAATGAAGGACACGATGAACATGATGACCCCCAGAAGGATGAGGATGATGGCTGGGGCCAGAAAGGCACTTTCAAGGGTTTTATATTTCTGCCGCTCAACTTCTGCATAGATCCCCACCGACAGGATCAGGGCCCCGATCAGCTGCAGCAAGAAAGCAAGGAGTGAGAGAGAAGGACCAGCGGTCACTTGATTTTCCTACTGCCAGTTTGTCTGGGGGCTACAGTGCCCGTCACTGGGGAGCTCAGCCCAATGACCATACATGAGGGAGCGTGCTGTGGGCTGACCTGTATTCCCCCAAAGTTCACACGGTGCACTGCTAACCCCAGGCCCTCAGAATGTGACTATATTTGGAGACAGAACCTTTAAAGAGGTAATTAAGTTAAAATGAAACTATACGGGTAGGCCTTCATCCAGTATGACTGTTGTCCTCAAAAGAAGAAAAGATGAGGGCCAGACACACCCAGAGGGAAGAACACGTGAGGACACAGGAAGAAGGCAGCCATGTACAAAGCAGGCAGACAGGCCTCAGAAGAAACCAACCCGGTGAACTTGGACTTCTAGCCTCCAGAGCTGTGAGGAAATACATTGCTGTGGTTGAAGCCACACGGTCTGTGGCATTTTGTTACAGCGGCCGTAGCACGCTGACACAGACTCTGTTTGGAAATGCCGCACGAGAGGAGGGTACCGGTGGGTCGGGAGAAAGGCCACTGCTTAGAGGGTCAGACGACATGGGTTTGAGTCCCAGCTCTGCCACTAGCTAACCGTGGGCCTCAGATAGGTAGGTGGCCCCTCAGTTCCATGTTGCCCTCTGAAACATGGGAGGAAGATGCTTGTTTCTGCCCTGCCCACACCCCAAGTTCTGGCAAGGCTTTCGTAAGAGATAAGGAAAGTGGGAATATTGTCAACCAAAGCACGCAGGGCCGCTGAAAGGACTGCTCCCCAGGCAGGCCACCCCAAGGACATTTCAGAGCTGCTCAGGGGGCCAAGCAAATTCCTTGTTATCAACTTTCCCAACAGTGGAAAGATGACTATTGTAGCACTCCATCAGGATAAACCCAGGCGACGAAGCCCCCGCAGAGGGCCCCTCTTTTCTCTGGGCCTGAAAACTTGCTTACTAAACTTTCAGGGATTGGGTTTTTTTAATAAAGTTTATTTACTTATTTATTTTGAGAGAGAGAGAGAGAGAGAGCACGAGTTGGGGAGGGGCAGAGAGAGAGGGAGAGAGAGAGAGAATCCCAAGCAGGCTCCACGTTGTCAGCACAGAGCCTGATGCAGGGCTCGAACTCATGAACTGTGAGATCATGACCTGAGCCAAAACCGAGAGTCAGACACTTAACCGACAGAGTCACCTGGGCGCCCCTACCTTTTCAGGGAGTTTTATCAGCTGACACCACTCCCAACTCTCAGATAAGTCTGGGCCTATCTCACCCTGGGATCCCACGGTACTGTCCTGATTGGCCCCCTTCAGCCCATTCTCCACACCAGAGAGACCAGGCAAAGCCCCATCAGAGCAGCCTGGTTCTCTGTGAGAATAAAAACACCAGCCTTAATCACAGATGACAGACAGGCCCACATGACCTGTCTGAGCTCACGTCTCCCTCTCCTCCCTTCTTCACTCTGCTTTAGCAGCACTGGGCTCCTTACTGCTGGTAGAAAACACACAGCGCACCATCCCGAGGCCTTTACACAGGCTGTTCCCGCTCTCCAGAATGCTCTTCCTCCTGACATCCACGAGGCTCACTCCCTCTCCTCCCTCTTGTCTTTGCTCCATTGTTAGCTGTTTTGTGAGGCCTTTCTGAGACATCTTATTTAGAAGGAGAAAATCCCTCCCCCTGAAACTTCTGACACCAATACCCCATTTTATTTTTCTCCTTTGCACTTACCAGTATGTAACATGCAACTTTATTCTTTTACTTTTTAATTGCTTGGCTTCCCCATAAGACTTTAAGCTGCATGTCAAGGAGGGATTTCCCAACTACCTGGGGCATCTCCAGCACCCAGAACAGTCCCGACGTTTAGGTACCATCAGTGTTTACAATCAGTGTGCACTGAATGGAGGCGAACTGGACTTCCCAATCGGCGCCCTTGGGTTTGAGTCCGACGCCGTCTACCTGGTCTCCTGCCTGTCTAAGGATCCTGACTTTCCGGGCCACGCATTCCTGGGTGCAAGGACAAATCATCAGATATGCTGGACTTCCTCTCCAAGGAGAAGGTGGTGTGAGAGGGTAACAGCTGAGGCACAGCCCGCTAAGGTCTCCGCAAAGGAAGCGAGGGGTAATACAGACCGGATGTTGGCAACATATGCCATGGACATAGCTACCCTAGAGTCACATCCAGAACACTGAGGACGCCGCCCCTCCAGTTACTCACTGGTCTTAAATTGGCTCTAATGTGCCGTCAAAATAGATCTCCGCAACTTCCTTCCAAAGAGCGCAGAGACTGTCCTGGGTAAACGGAAGTGCCTGTTTTCCCCTAACTTTTGACAAGTAGCCGAGATACCAAAAGTCAAGCAGACCAAGCTTATTTAGAAACACCAGATAACAGAGGGTTGCCAAGAAGCCATCTCCCCCCAGGGGGAGGAGGGGTCCGCCCCATTTGAAAAGATAATCCAGGATTTACCCAGACCCACTTCCCCCAGTGTGAAAGGAACGCCTTTCCAACACAGAGGTGCAAAGGGAGCTGAGAGACTCAGTCAGGAGTTACTTATTAACAAGCTGACCATATCAGGAAAACCATGAGTGAAATGATGTCATCGACAGTACCCACTTGGGTAAATGTTTACATTTATAAGGCAGAACGAACACACACACACACACACACACACACGCAGGAAATTTTCTACAGGAAGATGGTGATCACAGGAAATAAAATCTACTTTTAACAGAGCAAGATTAATCAGAGGCTCTCTGGTCAGTTCAGGCTCCAAAACCCAGAACAAGGTAAAATTAGTGTTCAAGGCCGTCCTAAGCCCTGTGGGTCTTCTGAGAACAGGAACAAGCACTTTAAAAAGCTCAGTCTCCCCCTTCTGAATTACTGGACTTCTAAGGAATGCCTACCGAACTCTAACCCTGAACCAGACACAGAGGCCGGAGATCCTTGGGCTGAAGACCATGGTTAAAGAAGACGACACGGGATGGAAGTCTTCACAGCATAGGCGGGGAGTGAATTAAATACACAGGGACACAGTGTACTTGAGGGCTACACAGGTGGGGTTTTATCCTCTGTCTTGATGAGAAGCGTAATTCTTCTGCTGTTGCTGACCCAACAAGATAGCATCTAAGTATTTTCAGAATTGCTTCCATATACTTTTGCAAATTTTGTGTTTCCTGTTTTAAGGATTTTTTAAAGCTTATTTATTTATTTGGAGAGACAGAGAGAGCACACGAACATGGGAGAGGCAGAGAGAGAGAGAGAGGGAGAGAGAGAGAATCCCAAGCAGACTCTGCACTTTTAGCACAGAGCCCAATGTGGGGCTTGAACTCACGAACCACGAGATCATGACCTGAACTGAAACCAAGAGCTGGACACTTAACCAACTGAGCCATCCAGGCATGCCAGCGTTTTCCTGTTTTAAAGGGAAAAAAAAAAAGCTCTTCTGGGGTGGAGAGACCTGGGCAGACAACTAGCCTCTATCCCTCATTCCTGCCTAAGGCTATGCTTCTGGGTTAAGGTAGCCTGCTCTGGAAACCATCTGGAAACCAAAATGGCAGGGCAGACCTCACCCCAGCCCTCTCCATAAAGTCAGCCAGTGGCTTCTTCTATTTTTACAAGCTCCCTAGGGACCTGAGACCCACTCCAGAAGGGCCTTGCAGGCAGGAAACAAAACTTCCTTTGGTCTGAGCTCCCTCCTGTTGCAAAGCATCGCATTTTCCTTGCCAGTCAGCCTGACCACATTTCCAGACCACCAAAGCCATAGGAAAATCTCCTGTGGCAAACAGAAACCCAAGCTTCCTTACTCCGCAAGCACCGCGCACTGAGCTGTCACACACCCGCCTCTCCTGCCACCCCAGCCCCCCCCCCCCCCCCCCCCCCCCCCCCCCCCCCCCCCCCGTGGCCTGGCAGACACCCCTGAGGCCCCTCCCAACACAGCACAGGCTGCACGGGGCTCCTCATTCAAATGCTCAAGGGGCAGTGGGCATGGGGAGAGGCAGCCATACGCCCTCTCGAGTAACTTTAAGATTTCCAATGATATTTATATATCTGATGACATCGGTTCATGTTTGCATTTGGGTATAAAATTAACTGTCATTGTGAGCATGCGATCCCACCCAATCCTCTCTAATTAGAGCCTCTCCCCAAGGGTGCTGGGGAGCCACTCCAGCTCCAGCCAGAAGCAAATGGCCCATTTGTCATGCAGGACAGCTTCAGCTAGAGACCCCTGGGGGAGGGAGGGAGGCGCACAAGGCCATGCTCACGTCGGGCGTCGGGCGCAGCCCGGAGCCCCAGGCTTTGCAAGCCCTGTGGCCCAGCATCAACTGGGCCTGAAGGTTCCCGCTGAGCCCTGCAGCTTGGAACCAGCTTCCTCCTCTGCAGGGAGAAGCCCAGCTTCACACAGCTGCTGGGAAGCAGGAGGCCCCATGACATTCCAGCACCTGTGTCTCCTCCTTCAGGAAGCATCTGGTCCCCAGTATGCTGGCTCACTCCCGGCTGACGCAAGTCTGCACTTACAGACCCATTTTCACTCCCAAAAGGCACACACCAGGCACCTAGTATGTCCCAGGCCCTGAGGTCACAGCGGTCACAAGACCAGAGAGGGGTAAGAACGGGGTAAGATAGGGGTCAGAGAGGTAGGAATTGACCTCTGTAGTCCATTGGATGGAATCAGCGCGTCTTTGAACTGGGGATGGAGAAAAGGTCGTAACCTTTACTTTTGTTAACCTCTAACTGAATGTTTCTAGCACAAAAAAGGTGACAATTCCCTGGTCTCTGGGAAGCAAGCTGCGATCCTTACCATGGAGAGGCCCAGGGGGCTCTGCGAACTCCAACAAAAGTGAGGGGAAGAAAGGGAATGTCAGGAAGCCAAGATGGACTTCCTGGAGGAGTCAGCATTTCCTGGAAGGTCCCAAGAACTGATTCATTCTGGAACTGTTTCATGAGGCACTCAAGGCTCCAGAGTTCTCTGTGGGGCCCAAAGCACTTTT